GGGTGTAACCCCGTGGTTTTTTGTTCATGTCTGTTGTAATTATTAGAGAACTCATAAATAAAAACGTGGAGTTTAATATATGTTCAATTTGTGTTTATGGAATATGCAAACCTATTGTGTTTTGAGTTTAATATATGTTCAGTTGTCGTTTAAAAAAAAAACAAAAAAACAATGTAACTGTAATATGTGGTTGCTTGGGATTTTATTTTGGTGGTCGGGGAAGGAGGGCTTCCCGTACGAGAAGAGACGTGACGAGAGTGACAGGGAGGATGGAGGACATCACTGTTGCTGCGAACTGTCACTGTTGCCGTGGACTATCGCGGTGGGGGAACACCCCACTGAACTGCTGTTCTTGCGAGTGAGGGGGTAGAAAAGGACTCCCGTCGACCTGTGGAGGTTGAAGCTGCGTGGGTGACTAACCCAGTGGAGAACAATCCCGTTAGGTCGCTAGCTCTGTGGCTACCGCTAGCGGGCTTCGGCGAACGGTTGGTGGCTAGCCAGCCGTGAGAGACGCGTGGACCTCGGAGAACGGTTGGCGGATAGCCAGCTGTGTGTGACGCGAGGACCTCGGCGTGGATTCTTCAACCTTGGGGAGAACATTGGACAGAAGCAGACGGACTACGGCACGTACGACCTCCTGGAGAGGGACGTATTCAGGTGATGGGGGACATGGTTGTTGGGGACGTTAATGGAAAGAGCGGGAAGCGCGTGAGTGCACCAACATCAGGCCTGCAACGACCGAGACTAATTTTTAGCTGCCGGCTTTAAGTTTCCTTTCTGTTTAACGAGGTTAATCGTATCATTTCTATTTCATTACTGACTGAAGAAACTGTGTTATTGTTCATTAAACTGTTTATTTGTTTAAAACGTATGCTTATTCTACTGTTATACTTCATGGTATAAGGGGTAAACATTTAGAATATTCAGGTAGAGATACCAACTGATTTAAAGAACTCAGGTTAGCCACCCCCATAACGCTAAGGACGCTAGGGGGCGCTACACAAAATGGAGGCACCGCTGGGATCTTTGTTTTAAATTTTTTTTAGAAGTTAAGCAGCTCATATAGCAGTAAGAATAGCATACTGTACAAAAGTAAGCTTCACGTAAGCAGTAAAGCAGAGTAGTGCATATAAGAGTCTTTTATATTAAAAGTAGTGTTTGTAGTTACTCCAGCATGACCATGGACAGTAATATAGTTTATGCAGAAATGGGGACTAGACTAAGAGACTGGTGTCAGGGTGAATCACTGGACGAGACCCGTGCAGTCTTGGCTCTCGTTCCCACAGGCGTTGAGGTTGCCCAGATAGAAGAGACTCTGCAAACAGTAAAAGTTCTTGGTCGAGTCCGAGTGAGAGGTAGGATGTACAACCAGAAGTTGGGCCGGTTGATGGTTTTGTGTTAAAGTAGAGAACCAGTTGACCAGAGCAGAGTCCCGGCTGAGGTGCATCACGTCGCTACTAATCTCAGTTGGCCAATTTTTGCAGTGGCACAGAGTCCGCCTACCGAAGGAGAACAACCACAAGCTGTCAAAACCCTGTTGGATGCTGCTGGACCTACAAGTTCAGTGGAGTCCATTATTCGGGCTGTGGGAGACGTTTTGGCCAAGGTGGAAAGACCAGGGAAAGAATACAGTGGGTACCACCGCCTTCGGATGTTCTCTGGCTCCCTACCCACACCGCCAGGAGAAGAAACATTGGAGCAATGGTTGGAGCAGGCTCGTTGGATGGTTGATGAGAGCGACTGTTCAGATAAGGAAAAGCGCAGACGCATCATAGAATGTCTTCGGGGACCCGCTCTGGCTGTCGTAAAAGCTGTACGTACGGCGGAGCCAGATCTCACACCCTCCAAGTGCCTGGATGCCATTGAGAGTGCCTTTGGAACCGCTGAATCCGGTGAAGACCTGTACTTTAAGTTTCGACTACTGCAACAGGAGAAAGACGAAAGACTGTCAGACTTTCTGAGACGTGTGGAGCAGTCCCTCACCTTAATAGCTAGAAAAGGGGGGATGCCTGCCAGTCGGGTGGACGCAGCCCGTGTAGAGCAGCTATTGAGGGGGGCAGTATATTCAGACCTCATGTTAGTGCAGTTAAAGTTGAGGGAGAGAAGGCAGAATCCTCCAAAGTTCTTAGAGCTATTAACAGAAGTCAGAGCCGAGGAGGAATATGCAGCGGCTAGGATCAAGCTCCGTGCATCTGTACAGCGGGTACAGGCACTACGGACAGCCGTCAGATGGACATACAGTCCTTAAAAACAGA